TTCTCATTCTACCCCTTAAGTGTCTGCTTACAAGTAAAGCAAGCCTCAGTATAAATGTCCAGTATACCAAGCCAAAACAATAACAAAAAAGCTACCAACCAATATATCTTAGAAAAAGCTGTTTGGACATTGGAATGAATTCTGAATTTTATTAAAAAGTCATTGGCTAGAGTTACAACATGATTGGAAGAAAATATTTTATTTATATCCTGTCCCCCCCCCCAATAGGGACCAAAAACAACATTATTACATTGTTTTCCCTTACTTGTTAGAGAATAAGCCTGATATTTGCTTTATGAACTATTTATTGCTACACACAATGGACTGTGCACACACACACATAGGCTCAGGAAGCTGTACACTTTAGGTCACCTGTTGTGATGCCACACATAGAGGGTGCCTGCACATACCTTACATGCAAATAAGGTTTCAGCTACACAGTTACCCAGCCTGGTGAAGAAGCACAAACCTCCATTATTGTGAGCAATGAAACAAAAACTCTAGGAGGAAACAGCCCCCATGGCAAAGATGCTTATGGTCACGTACTACCCATCACCTGCTTTGTTCCTGAGCTGGAATTTCCTGCCATATGGACATTTGGTTATCAATGGAACTGGCCAGCTTCATCAGCACTACAATGAAGCATCCTGATGCCCGAATTTCACACCTGTCCAGATGCCATACTCTGAGTAAGGTTTTAGGTTACAATATTGGCCACCCCTCTTAGGTAACCTCCCCTTCCCACATGCAACCAATAGGATAGTTTTTGGGACGGACTAACAGGTAGGTGGGTGAAGAGGTTGGCACAGTTACTACCCATCTCTTGGACCCCCTATAAAAGGAGAGAACCAGTCACCTGGCCCCTCCTACTTCATCAATTAGCATCTCCCCCGCAACAACCCCTGTCTGCTTTTACTCCTCTTAAGTCCCACTTGCTATCCCCAACACTTGCCTCCACTGTCCACACATTCTGGCTGGTTCTGGTTGTGTGTAAATTCCCTTTGTTTTCCATTTCTTCCCTCTATTCTTCATTGGAACAACCAAGCTGCAAGACAGTTAAGTATCACCCGTCATCACCCCCACCTGCTAATGCAACTGTGCTTATTTCCTACTGTATCTCTTAGAAACTTGATTGAATGTGTGAGTGCATCAGTATTGTTTGTATGAGATATATTTTTAAGTAAAAGACATCTATTTTAACCACAACAGCCTCAAATCCTTTACTGGTAACCCTTGGTAGGAACAGGACCTTGGTATAAATTGGCAAGAACCCATTTATAAATTGCCAATTGCTGTAAATAAAGCAATTTGGCTAACATACTCTACTTTATCCTCACAACAACCCTGTGAAATACCTTAGAGAATGTGATGGGGCCAAAGTTACCTGGCAAGCTTCCATGGTATATCACAAATTTGAACCCAGTTCTCTCATATTCAGCACTCTAATATACCACAGAGCACACCAGACAGAGAAAGCTGATAGGAACTGGGAGAGAAGGACCACCATGGCATCCTTTTGGAGCATCTCAGAACCTCGATTCCTAAAGACACAGACTACTGAATTTTATCCTTTTTCTTAAAAAAAACCCCCAAGGCATGTTATGGTGTGATTTAGTGAACAGAATATTTGATTTGGATTGGAAACACTTAATTAAAATCCCTGCTCAGTCATGAAACTCACTGGGTGATTTTGGGCCAGGGAGCTTCATCTATCTCATAGGATTATTGTGCAAATGACATGGTGAATACCCAGGTATGCAATGAAGGATGTAAACAGTAATAATAACAACAAACTGTCTGAGTCATGGTGACTTCTCTACTTCCACCATAAGTCTTTCGCCAAGAACTGTACATATTTTGGAAGGCATTTTATTTAAAGACCAGCAAAATCTTTGATGGCTGACTGAAGGAATACTGAGGGGCTGTTAGCATGAAGATCAGACCCCAACACATTACCATCTGATATTAAAATTGTTGGGAATGTATGGGTTGCAAGGTCTCAGATTCCAGCCATTATAGGATTAACTTGTTTACCATCTCTACTATTGTTTAGACTGACCTGGAACGGAAACCTGGCAGACAGCCACTGCAAGAAAAGCCTACGAATGTTAATGGTATTGATTGGTTACTGGTTTCAGGTGACTTCCTTTCTAGGGGTCAAGAAGAAGGAGATTCTCCATTGCTGTGTACTTGTTGTGTGACCATGCTTTCTAGAAGTAGGATGTGAAAATGTAACTCTAGACATGTTTGTTACTTTGTAGGTTTCTCGTGTACCTTTTACCCTTAGAAATAAAGCTTTTTAAACAGAAATAAACGTCTCCTCTCCAGTGGAGCAAAGATCCATTGTAAACTCTGAGTATTTTTGACAATTTTTACCAACAAAAATATCCGTATCTTGCAGGACAGGACCTTAGAAGAGACTAATTCTGAACCACCTTCCCAAGAGTACATTATATATCTGTTCACTTAAATGAATCCTTTTTCAAAATGCCATTATCTAAAAACAACCTACAATTCGACTCTGATTGTTCTTACACAGCATAATGAATCTTATCCATACTAATGCCTGAACGCTAAAGTTGCCCAAACTATCTGTTATATCACAGTCGTGTCACTTAGAATGACACAAAACCATTCTATGAAGCCATTACTTCATAATTATCCAGATTACCTCTTAATCTTCCTTCATAGTGAACATGGCTGACTCCCACATAGCCTCTTGGTTCAGAGAATGCTGTCGAACAACACTATCTTCTAACAAAATGAAGCAATCCTGCGGCTTCAGCATGTGACCTTTTATTTCAGTAACACAGAAAACAGATGATACCACCCAATTTAAACCACCCAATTACTACATAGTTAATTAATATGAGATAAACATTATAGTCTAGCAAACATCACACCTGTGCAATTAAAAAGCCTGTTTATTGTCACCATGTTTTCTGTGTCTTGCCTTTTTTGCTCTGTAGCAAGGTCATTGTCAAAGCACATATATAATACATCTAAAGACTAAAGATCGGGAACTCCAGCAGTGTATGTTACTATTAATAAACACATTCACCCCTCAAAGAGAAGAAGAGGAGGAGAGATTGGATTTATACCCCGCCCTTCACTCTGAGTCTCAGAGCAGCTTACAAACTCCTTTCCCCCCCCCACAACAGACACCCTGTGGGGTAGGTGGGGCTGAGAGAGCTCTTTTGAGAACTGCTCTTTCAGCAACAGCTCTGACCTTGGCTTGCCCAAGGTCATCCAGCAGCTGCAAGTGGAGGAGTGGGGAATCAAACCCAGTTGTCCCAGAGTCCGCGCACTTAACCACTATAATAATATGGAATGCCAGTGAATACTATCTGAAGTACTCCTGAAATGTTGCCCTCTTCAGTCTAGCTAAATAATTTCCAAGATGTCTGAGTGGTAAGAAGTTTGAATGAAGTATGTTGTTTGGTCAGTAATATATTGAATGAATTGACCAATGACAACAATGTATAAATAAATAATAAATAAATGTCACATGCTCATATAATTAGGCCATTCTTGTCCTCAAGGAAGAACAACAGTCTTCAATACTGTTTTCTTTCTACATTCAGAGCCAACTTATATATTACAAGCTAACTTAGCATAACATTTTTTTCTAAAGAGATGTTCTAAATGTATTACAGGGCTGTGCATTATGGGCATGGTTGCTGTTTCTGTGCACTCCCACATTGCAATACAACAATTGACTCCGGAAGAGCATGTGGAGTGAGATGAAAACATGGTTACCTGCCCCAATACTGCCGTGCCTTGGGTTCAAAGGTTAGTAGTACACAGAAGCATAAGAAACAACCAGATGACCTGACAGATGGGGCTACTAGAAGCATTTGGCTAGCCACAGTTAGAATGAGAATACTACTATTACTGTTTTCTGAATAAACCTGCTGTAAATGGGTTGTAAATGGAGCTTAACACTGGCCACAATGTTGGAACTGACTTTTAGCAGTCATAATAAGTCGTTAACCTTTGAACTAGAGTCTGCCCTATGATGAACATCTCTGTGTAGATTAAGATATCCTTATGGATCATCAAATGCCCACCCAACACCCCAATGTCTGTATTTGCATTTGAGTCAAAGGCCACTAGGAGCTTCGGCGGCTCAAGTGGTTAAGACGCTGAACTGCAGGCTGTGGAACGTCAGTAGTTCAGCAGTTTGAGACCTGAGTGCCGCATGACGGAGTGAGCTCCCGTCTCTAGTTCCAGCTCCTGCCAACCTAGCAGTTCGAAAGCAAGAAATTGCAAGTAGATAAATAGGTACCACTTCGGTGGGAAGGTAACAGCATTCCGTGCGCCTTGGTGTTTAGTCATGCCGGCCACATGACCACAGAAACGTCTTCGGACAGCGCTGGCTCTTCGGCTTTGAAACGGAGATGAGCACCGCAACCCTAGAGTCGGATTCGACTGGCTTTCGAGCAAGGGAACCTTTACCTTTTACAAAGGCCACACATCAAGCTGATCTGCCCTTTGCCTGGCTCTGAACAACATGCACTTTAGACCATCAAAAAGGGTTCCAAGCAAGGGTTTTTGAAGCATGGAGGACTTCACAGTTGGTGGTCAAGGCTTTGTAGTTTATCACACATATCCATTGACCCATTTCTAAAAGTAGAAGGCTACAAATCCTGCTTGGCGTTACTTGCTGCTCCAAATGGCAAAAGCAACAGAAAGTCAGAGCAGCAAACATTTTTCACAAGGGTCTTCCTTCATCTAAATCTGAATACAGGCTGCTATGTACTTTATCAAACACTATTTTTATTTTTTAACTTAGGCACTGCTATGGGTGTATGGGGGGAAACATCTTTTTTTAACCTGTTCCAAATATAGCCCGCCCTGTGGCTTTTACGTCATGCAGGTATCTGTTTTTATTCCCCTTTTAATTAAAAAGTGTAGCAGCCCAAGCTGTTGTCCTAGACCGATGTAGGACTATTCCACTGCTTGTGACAGCGCATTTAATAAAAGGTATTTTTGCTCACCTCATCAAGGTCACACCTCCTGCTTCTAACATGTAACTGAAATATATCACCAAGTGCCCTTAGAAAGAAGGGGAAAATATATATCAGCAGAGACTCAAAAAGAGAACCAAAAATAAAGCAATAAAAATAGCAACAAGGAAAATAGATACTCTTTTTCAAAGCAGTAAAGATAGGTTTTCGATATTCATCCTTGGATTTCCTTCACTTGTTTGGAGGAATTGCTGCCTCCATGACAAACAGTGCTATCTATTTTTATCTCACCCTTCCTCTAAGGCAGGGGTATCAAAACATAAGGCCTGGGGGTCAGAACTGGCCTGTCCATGGCTCTTATGTGGCCTGCGAGTAACTGGTGCAAGGGAGGGAGTGCCGGGGGGAATGGGCAGAACCACTCCATTGTGGCTTCAGCACGGCAGAACAATCTTGTCTGCAGCAGTCAACCATTGTGGGAGCATCTGCCCAGCACTGCACTGCTGCCTCTCCAGCCTGCCTATGTGGGTTTTACTCTGCACCCCCCTCCCAGCCCCTGGGACCTTGCAGTGAGGATACAACAACTCAGAGATTACCAGCTGATGTCATTCATACAGTTTCTATCTGTATCTGGCATTACGTTTTATGGCATACATGGCCTGGCCCAACAAAGTGACATTTATGTAGAAAATGAGTTTGATATCTCTGCTCTAAGGAGCTCAGGGGAAGTATATATGAGTATACATTACCACCACAGCAACCCTGTGAGGTGGAGAGAATGACTAGTTTGAGGTCATTCTGTGACTTCAGAGCAGAGGAATTTGAATCCAGGTCTCCCACGTCCTAATCCAATGCTCGAGCCACTGAACCAACAGTGAATCTCCATTCTATCAGCTTGGAGGGCCTGTCCACTCGCTATGTTTCTGAGTGTACATCTAAGAATGAATGTGAATGCAACAGATTCAAACATGGATATTATATCCAGCTATACTCAGTGGAAAGCAAAGATTGTTTACAGTTCCCTGTCAAGTGTCTGTTCAGTAGTAAACTAAGGTCTGTGTTGGTGTGTAAAATGGTTCTAAAATGAACACTTATGACCTTCATTTAAAATACGTTACAAGTGTGAATGCTGTTTGAGGTTAACAGCTTTTCAGAATTCCATGCGTATTCCCTCATTTGGGGTACATTAGTAAATTGCAGTATGTGAAAAGACCCTAACATAAAAGTCATTAGGAGTACACAGGTACATTCTGCATCATGTAATTATTTCCTTTATTTTAATAGAAGAAAAAAATGGGAAGAAAATCTGAGCACTCACTTGTTCTGGTAACAGCTTCTGATCAAAATGTCATTTGTAATTTCCTTAAGAAACTGAAGGTACTTCAACTCTTCTTCTCTTTGTCAACATGAAACAGATTAGGATAAACATGTTAAGAAAAGATTGTTCCTTGGGCTTCTGCCCTCTATCCCAAATACTAACATTCATGCCACTTTCAGTTGCTTAGGTGAAAGGCAGCCTATTTCTATGACACTGTCCCATGGGAATGATTCAGATGATTCACTTTCAAGTCCCACTGATTTCAGTGGGAGAATTAAAAATATGTATAGCTTTCTTTCACTAAAATCAACAGGATTTACCTGTTTAATTTGTACATATGGAGCTGCCCTGTACTGATAGAGACTATTGGTCCCTCCAAACCAGTGGCTCTCTGCCATGGTGTGTGTACCACCAATGGGACACAGAAGTAGTTTAGGCAGGATGCAGGGTTTCATAGCAATTAACTTAGAATGCACTCTCCTTCAGTGTCTGTGGCCCTGACCTGGATAGGTCAGGCTAGCTCAGTCGTGTCAGATCTTGGAAGCTAAGCAGGGTTTAATTTGTACATATGGAGCTGCCCTGTACTGATAGAGACTATTGGTCCCTCCAAACTAGTGGCTCTCTACCATGGTGTGTGTACCACCAATGGGACACAGAAGTAGTTTAGGCAGGATGCAGAGTTTCATAGCAATTAACTTAGAATGCACTCTCCTTCAGTGTCTGTGGTCCTGGATAGGTCAGGCTAGCTCAATTGTGTCAGATCTTGGAAGCTAAGTTAGTACTTGGATGGGAAATACATGGAGCCTGGCAATGGCAAATCACCTCTGAACTTTACCCCGAAAACCCCATGGGGTTGCCATAAATCAGTCGCAGAAAGAGTTCCAGGACATAGTTTCAAATATACAACGCAATTTACTGTTTATACCCAATCCCATGATAAATCATATTTGCCTTATTTCTTGGACAGAGAGTCACACCTAAAGGATTTACAGTAGACATTCTTAACACTACAATATCCATAGCAGATTAACAAGACCACACTGGTATCCCAGGACAGATTACTACAGGACAGATCCAAAATAATAAGTGACAGAACACCAGTTGCTCTCACCTATAGCTTCTGAGTAAAACCAATCCTACTTACCATCCATGATCTAAAGCCTGTTTTGGATGATAATTCCTCTTTCACAAAGGCCTTGGGTGGTAGGCCTTTACTTGCTTATAGACAGCCCTCTAATATAATGTGCAACAATGCACCACCCCATGGAGATATTAGCATGAGAACCAGACAGTGCAATCAGCCCAGCTCCGTCCCTGTTCAACTTAAGTAACACTATTACAGGACCTGATAATATTAGCTATTGTAGTTAATCAGGGGCTCATTTACTTGCTCATCATTCTGTGAGATATATCCCAGGCTCACCAGGTAGCCACCTCAGGAGCTTGTCTCTTTAAAGTGCTACTATGTTGTCACTGCCGCCGCCACCACCACCACCACCACAACAGCTGATCTTCCTCACTAGCTTGGGTGGAGGTGGGACTCCCTACCTCTCGCAGGGAGAGGAATCCTTGTGAGTGTACAAGGGAAACCAGAGGGCATGCACTGCCTGTTAGGCCACCTTTAAAAGCAGGTTACGATGAGGACAGTGCTCAGCTACCCACCCCAGGCTAGAGAGGGAAGCAGCAAGAAGAGGAGGAACAAGGTGTTAGAGACTGTTTATTCTCTTAATTCTGAGGTCAATGGGTGATGTCCGCAAGTGAACTTGGGAAACAAGCCACTGAAGGGAGGGGCCTAAACACCTCTCATTATTTGTCAACAATGCCCTGCTGTTTATATAGGAAAAATCCCCAAAATATTGCTCCTGAAGGACAAGGGATGCCCAAGAACAAAATTAAAGCGAGCTGAAGGAATGCCATGAGGGGAAATTGCCCCCACATCTGTAAATGCAAATTTTCCATGGGATCCTACTCAGTGACAACATTCAAAAATGCACTGAAGAACTTTTCAGTCTTCCAGAACATCCAGTGGGAAGTGGCTATATTAGTTCATGAATAGGTTTGATAGTATTAGCCAGGTCTGCCGTTTTCTTGGCCGCTACAGGTATTACATTTCTTAACAAAACCAACTGTTCTTGTTATTACCAATCACAGCTGTTGTGAATAATCACTGTACTTCTCAATATACTTTGACATAGCAATATCACAAGCTAGGCCATTTAACCCTTTGCTCTTTCTTTTTCTTTCTTGCAGGCTGAGAATTCACTTTGTGCATCTGAATAATTTGCTGAAGCCCACAAAAGCTTATGCTATGCTGAACATGCTAGGTTTTAAGGTACCCAACATTCTTCTTTGATATTCGCTGCAACAGACTAACATGAGCTCTGTACAATTCACTTACTTTGCCTGAAGCAGTGCTTGCAGAGAAACTGAAGTCTCCTGATGTTTCTATAATGTTTAAAAGCAGAGAAAAGAAACTAAGCCATTGCTTTATAGACTTGGAATGCCATATCTCCTTGTGTCGTAATAGCTAGTTACCCAGTGGACCCATTATGAACATTACCAATGTGTCTTATGGCACACAGTGTCAGCTCCTATATAAAGATATACTTTATAGGGATTTAACTATTAGTATGAAAAAATATCACTTGAGAATTGCCTGTGACTTGTCTCCAGCATAGGCTTGGTCTTAGGAGATGTTTCATAAGTTCTCTATGTATTTTTTGTATGAATACCTGAGTACATAGACACATACTGTGCATTACATATTAATTTGGCCCCAACATGCTTGTGCAGTTTAAAGTAAAACAGACCAAAAAAATACATGTATATGCCCATCCCATTTCCCAAACAGCACATTCTTGGGTAGTCATACCCAAGACCAAACAGGAATAAGCCAAAAGTATTTGTTGATGTTCATTATGGGTAAAGCTTTATACTGACTCAGTCCATCTTCCTCTGCACATGCAGCTGCATGGACAGGAACAGATTCCCAGAGGAATCACTGGAGCCCTGGATCTCCCTTTCTCCTGCCTTCAGCCAGCTGGTGCAACTGCAAGGGAGGAGGTTTATTTATTATTCATTTATGTATCCCCTGCCTTCCTTCCCACTGGAGACCCAAAGCAGCTTCCAGGAGGAGGTAAAGGCGCCACAGAAATGCTCTGCTATATCCATCGATTAAGTGTACCTGATGGCCATCCTAATGACAGAAGGGCCAACTTGCCCGGTATCAGTGAAGCCATCCCTGACCTGCACAGTTCTCCCAGCAATGCAAAGGGGTTGCAGCACGCAGTTAAGAGAGGGTGGGTGATGGGGAGATCTGCTTCTACCAGAGGAACGATGGTAAAGTACAACCTAATATATTGTTTTACACTTTTGAAGCAAACCGTGAGGCTAGTTACACATACTGTTGCAACACCCTTTTATTGCAGAAGTAGATAGCAGACACTAGTGATATTTAACCGCTAGAATTCTATAGCCAACATGTTAGCTGGGAAGTTCAAAGAAATATAAAATTCAGTACATGACCCCATTCATTTTATTCCTCCACTAGCTCCTTCATATTAATACATCATATTCTGTACTGATAGTAGGAAAACAATCAAAGAGTGAGCAGTGTTCTCCCTGCTGTTGCAACTCTTGAAGGCACAGGAGCCTTGTTAGGATCTAGACCTGGCAACTCTATGTACCATTTGGCTCCCTAGCTCATAGTTCACTAGATGTTTCCTCAGACTCACTCTCCCCCCACCTTTTCTCATTATTAAATTATTCCACTGTTTTCTCTGTCCCTTTCATTCAACTGCCATACTTTTGGGCTATCCTTTAGGTTTCCTACCTTACGGGTCCACTTTCCAATCACCCTTTCCAGTATTAACTTGTGCACACAGCTCCTTGCACACACACTATGTGAGAGTTCTTTCTCATCGAAACTGCCAACTACCCCTTCTCACAGAGACTGGAATGTGAACATGTTATTGCTGGTGGCTATGTTGTGCGAGCAGCTGGAATGTCTCGAGATATACCAGCTCATCCCACTGGTATCAGAGACTCCACTGCCACAAGTCCCATGCAGTATACATTTTCCAAGGTACATTAAGATCAAATTTCCATATTCTGTTTAGATGGAGAAACAGCATCACAAAATAGTTTTGCCTAATTATTTTCACATGAAGGAATGTTTCTTATGGATACCCCCCGTGAAGATAAGGCTGCTAATACACCTAATCAGCCTTCAGGCTCCCTCTCATGGTAAATAGCAATTAAATACTATTAAAATAATGTAATGCTGACTCAAAATAGGGCCAGAAATAATTAGTGGGGTAAGGGAAAGAAAATCAGAGTATTCCATATTGACAGTCTAAGAAGATAAGACCCTGAGAAATCTGTGATTGGATCTTCCCAGCAATTTTTAAAACAGAAACTGCAATTGTGTGAGGCCCCAACCTGGATTGGGGCTGTGGGGAAGCAAGTTGAAACTGACCCCTCCAAGCTGTTATTAGCCTCAAAAGGAAAAAAGAAAAGAAAAGAGATGGGCATCCATTCTTTGCCTGTCTTTTTTTTCTTGCCAAGACTAATAGCAGCACATAGAAGGGGTTGATTTATAGTTACAAAACTGTGTGGATGGAAGAGTTAAACAGGCTGGCTCCTGCCCTGCTTTTGCTATTTAAAAATCCTGTAAAGATCAGATCATAGATCTCTAACTATCTCCTAAGCAGAGGTCATTTCGGGGGGGGGGAACGCGGGGGAACACAGTTCCCCCAGGTGAGGTGCAGGGGGGCGGGGCACATGACGAAGCCCCGCCCCCTGCTTCCGGCCACCCCACTTCCAGCCCTCATTCAGCCAGGAGGAAGCAGGAGAAGAGGGAGGGTAAGTTGCTTCCTCCCCGCCTCTCCCCACCCCTGCCTGCCTGGGGCCAGGGAGGGCCTTGGCGGGGCTTCCTCGCACTCCCGCTGGCCTTGCAGGTCCACCGCCGGACCCCTGATGTCAGGGGGTGTGGCATATGCTAATGAGTTATGCTAATGAGTTCCCCTAGCTCTTTTTCTACGAAATGACCCCTGCTCCTAAGTTTTGTTTCTTTAAGCACAGGAACACACAGTTGATTGTACATATCATGTCGGTGTACTTCTGCTATCTATTATGAGAGCCTTTTCAGTTTCGGTACATGATAACACTAAAAAAGAAAAGCAAAAGGGGAAAGTTTTGTTCAGAGACAGTGCTTATTTGTAACTGTTAAAGAAAAGTAGTTAAAGAAAAGTAGATGATTTTGTATCTCTCCCACACGGCAGCTGACTACATTAGTTTAGTAAAACACACAACTGCTGCTTTTAGAGTCTCTTCTTGGAAAGAGAACCCTGGCGATGGTTCAGGTACTACTTTCGTACATTTAAAAACATTGTTTGTGTTTTCAAGAGAGCTCTGTTATTTTAGATCTTTCTATTGGAACCCACCCAGTGTCATTACCTACCCTGAAACACTACAATTCCCCAAATGTGTAATTTTCAATTGCTTGAATAACCAGTTTGAGTTAATCATCACCAACAATAATCATTGTAGGTATTTAAACTTTCTTTCAGCTATGTCTGATGCCATTCTATCACGGAGTAAATAGATTTAATCTAAAATTGCCTTGTGCTCAGATCCAGAATTGCTTAAATTTATAAATATTCCTGCCCATATCAATTCACTCAGTACCGAACGGGGTACAACAACCTTGAGTGGATGCCGCGTGAAGTAATCTGCATAAGATCTTAGACATTCATCTTCTGAAGCCCTGAAAGTTGAAAAAGGAAATTTTGAATAACATTGACAGCAGTTTAAAATTATTTGCTTGAAGCTGAGGACACTACATCTTTCATTTTTTTTCGTTTAGCTATTCATATGTAAACTAAGTTGTTGAGCATTTTACCTATAAAGCTTTCCTGGGTTTTTGTGCAATGGTTTATCAGACAAGAAGGTCTTCTTTCTGTGTGGAGAATTATAATACCTGTATTTTGAAAGGAATGATTTATTTGGTGTTTTTAAAACTTTTGGTGTAAAGGGCTTTTTTGTTTCTGTAAACCATTGTCTATGGACATCCAATGGGTCTCCATGTAATGTTTTCTTATGAAGGGGTCGGGATGTCTTTCTGCTGTGGCTCAGAGAAGGGCTCAGTCTGTGAGACTGGCCAAGTGGCACAGGATGCTGGTAAACTGTCTTCTTGCCATTGGAGAGAGCCTGAGATAAAGACCACCGGACAATATCCTGGATGGTCTCCTCTGCGCTTAAAACTTGGGACCGAGTTCTTGAATGTGGCTTCTTGATACATTCGGGGAAGTGCTCGTCTTTTTCTTTCAAGGATGGCATTCTTCTACTTGTAGCCAAATCCAGGCTGCTCTGTAACTAAATGCAAATGGGAGGGGGATTAGAAAAGGCAGCATAGTTTTCAATGAAAGGAACTGCATTTTCTTCTTTATTTAGACAGGGTTTATATGGGAAAATACACACAACATTATTATCCATAGGGACTGACTTAGGAAGGGGATGCACTACTTCTGTATTTTTGAAGGTCATTGATACATTCCTGTCTTATGTCCCAGGAAGACTGTGATCAGTGAATTCATCTTATTCTAGAGTTCCTTTTTGTTCTGTTTTCTAGAAAGGCAGTAGCATTTCTACAATGGCAGAAGGTATCCATGAATAAGGTCTACTTGGGTATTGACATAAACAAACAACATGGACAACATTGTTACATATTCTCATATGTACCTGCCCATCAACTCTGCATGCACTTCCTCTAGGGATGCACACTTGGGGAGAAAAACTGTATATTTTTAAATTCAGCTGTTGGGATTGGTTTCCATACTGGTATTTCAGATTATTGGGGTCCCCTACACCATTTCAGGATTTGGATTTTTTTAAAAAAAATCCTGAACATTTTCTGGTCCATTATCCTTTATCAGAGGACTATTTCTGGGGGGCTGGAGTGGCTATTTTTCAAACAAATGACACCATCATTTCTGGGAAACCAATCCTGCCTGTCCACTAAAGACTCTCCCAAATTTCAAGCAAACTGGATCAAGGGGACTAATTCTATGGAATTACAGATGGCCCCCAGCCATCCAACTTGTCTCCATTATTTCCTATGGAGAAAAAAAAAATCCATGCTTTCTCCAGGAAAAGAAGTCAATAGCCAAACACAGAAGACAGAGTAAAGCAACCACTGCCCAAAATTCTCCTAATGCAAACAGAACCAGTATGGCCAACAGAATTCACATCAAACCAGAGAATCCCAGCAAAACTTCAGGCCCATGTGGCAAGCCCAACAGAACCAATGTCAAACCAGAGAATGTAAGCCAAACCAACCTAGCAAGCCAGTACCAAGGCAGCCAGCCAGACCTGGCAAGACACTGACACAGACAGACACATGCTGATGTCCCTTCCTTAAGGAAGGCCACAGAAAGCAAGAGAGAGGGGTTTTTAGGCACCCGAGTTTCCCTCTCTCTGCAGGCTGCAGACTATACTGTCACTGGCTCACAGAATAAGTTTCAGGAGCTGAAGTTGCCCTTCATCACTCACACTCCTGTTCCCTCCATCCCCTGTAAAGAAGAAAAACAACAGCAATACAGTATGCCTGAGCATCATTTTAGGTGCTTCTGTGGGTTCTGCTTTATTAATTGAGATACTTTACTACTTTCCTAACATATCATTTCAATGATGTTTCTGGGGAGGGGTTCTTTATGAGGGTGGCAAGAACATTTCTGGCACTTTAAATACATGCTAATGAGATCTGAACTTGCTGAGAAGAGAAGAGACCTAGAGGTCATAGTAGATTTCTGTTGTTCAGTCGCACAGTCGAGTCCGACTCTTCGCGACCCCATGGACCACATCACGCCAGGCCTTCCTGTCTTCTGCCATCCTCTGAAGTTTGCTCAATTTCATGTTCATTGCATCTATGACACTGTCTAACCATCTCATCCTTTGCCATCCCCGTCTTCTTTGACCTTCAATCTTTCTCAGCATCAGGGTCTTCTCCAGTGAGTGCTCCCTTCTCATTTGGTGACCAAACTATTTGAGCTTCAGTTTCATTATCTGGCCTTCCAGGGAACAGTCAGGGTTGATTTCTTTTAGGATTGACTGATTTGATCTCCTTGCAGTCCAAGGGACTCTCAAGAGTCTTCTCCAGCACCATAGTTCAAAAGAATCTATTCTTCGGCGCTCGGCCTTCCTTATAGTCCACCTCTCACAGCCATACATGACTACTGGGAATACCATTGCTTTGACCATGTGGACTTTTGTTGGCAGGGGGATGTCTCTACTTTTTATCATGCTGTTTAGGTTCACTATCGCTTTCCTCCCAAGGAGCAGGTGTCTTTTAATTTCATGGCTGCTGTCACAGTCTGTGGTGATCTGCGATCCCAGGAACGTGAAGTCTGTCACTACTTCCACGACTTTCCCTTCTGTTTGCCAAGGAGTGATGGGGCCGGATGCCATGATCATAGTAAATAGCTCAATGAAAACATCACCCCCATGTGCCACAGTGAAAAAAAGCAAACTATGCTGGGGATTATTAGGAAAGGGATTAAAAATAAGATAGCTAATATTATAATGCTCCTTTTCAGTTTAAGAAAGAGATGACTAAGGGGGCAGGACAATTATGGATGGTGCTTGCATAGAAGATCTCCATGCAATTATGATTATACAGTATTGCATCCTTTGCATGAAACCTTTGCCACAGTGCAAATTCCGCACAGGGAAACAGCCCAAATTTAAGCAATTAAGCAGGAATTTTCAGGAATGAGGCAATTTTAACCTGTGTGTGCATGTGAATATGTAAGTATCTACACAAACGTTTGATTTCTTTTTCATGTTTCTTTTTAAATACAGTCCCTTACTTTGGGCTCAGGAACTGATGTGGTGCAGAAATTCAAACAAACAATAAAGCCTGCACAACGTGGCGCTCCAAGTGTGGCAGAGCCCTACAAATAACTTCCTGTTTGTGCTGTTCATTTGATATGACAAACACTAGATGGCTGTCAAGTACATGACTGATCACAAGAGATAACTGGTAGGCTGGATTTAGCTAATACTTAAATACATTAAATAACCTCACCAGCAAGTACTTTGTTCGGTCTTCCCAACACTGCTTGGTCACAACTCATGCTTCACAATTCATTCTTGCTTCTATTTAACATTCCACTGCTGCCCTCAGCCTCTGAATACGTGAGGGATGCTGGACCTCCCACTATAGCAGAAGACCTCCCAGAGACAGCCCCCAATCTTCGCCACTGCTTAGAAGTGCAGTGTGTGTGGGGAGGATGAGTCGACATAATGATGTCACTTCTCCATTCATTTGGAAGTGATGTCAACACTGTTGGAGCGATGGTGCCTCCCCCTGTCCCTGCTCACCCTGTCTTCCACTAGCTGCCAGGTGTGGGCTGGCAACCCTAGAACATGCACGAGAGAGACTCAGTAAAGTGTAGTGATTACAGTGTTGGATTAGGACCACAGAGTCACACAGCTCACTGGGTGACCTTGGGTCAGTCACTCTTTCAGCCTAAGCCTCTTCACAGTGTGGTTGTGAAGACTGCATGAAAACCACGTGAGCTGCTCTCATCTCCTTGGGGGAAGCACAGGGTTAGAAGGAGATAGATATATATGCATAACATCTGTGATTGCACCGTAAATGTTTGGTTATTTCCCTCTCATCACTACTGATCAGGTTCCTCAACTTCCTTGAATTAAAAAAGTAATTTGAAGATATATGTTTAAAGACAGTTTGCCATAAATGCAAGGTAGGACTCAGCAACACCTAATAATAAAATCCTTTCTGAACGTCTTCTAACTGAAGGTAACATTTTTAATATCTTGTCATGTAAAAATGCTTGCACATGTCAACGTACCCTTCAAGAACAAAGCTAGGCCAACACTTTTCTCTCTGGTGTGCTAATCATATGCATGTCTGGCTTTTTGCTTCAAGACAGTATTAAAAATGCAGTTTTTTTCACCTGCAAACTGAGATGGAGTCCTGTCCAGTATTTTGCTACAAACATTGTTCAACTTCAAGTTGAACTTATTTAAGCAGGACAGGTGCAAAATTGTACAAGAGTGGGACCAAGAATTTGCAAATAAGTTGTCTGTTTAGATGGATGGCACATTTGTCACAAAGGGCCCAACATTCGGTATGCAGGTTAGGCAAGGATAACAGGATGAGGAGAGTGGGTGTGATGCAGAAAGTGTGAGCAGAAGGTAATGCTGAGCTCAATAAAGTCATCATACCAATATTGATGTTAAAAAAACTCCAGCTCAAGGGAGCATTTCAGATGATCACATGGGATCCGTGCAGATTAATTTCAGTTGCTGTACGATACATAATCAGTTGCAGAGTGGGCGAAGCAAATGGTGTTGTGGAAAACAATTTAGATTAAAAAATCCTGGTCATGTAATCCATGACTTTATGCTCATCTAATAATAATAAGAAGAATTTTGATTAAAACAAAAACAAGCCCAGTTGTGGGGGGGGGGAGCACAACGGTGGGTGTGAGAGGAATGATCACTCTGGTTGAACAGGCGTCTCCCCAAGGAGGACAGCTTGTTCCTCACAGAGGTCCACCTCGGAAAATAGAATGAGCCTGCGAAACATATTCCGTTTGTGTTTTATGTAAGTAAAATTCTTCTTAAGGCAAGATTTCTCACACTCAAAATATATAACATGGAAAAAATATGGACTTTTTCATTTTTTTTAATATTTTGAGTACTGCCAAAAAACAACAACAACCAACCCCCCCCCAACCCTGTGAAATATGTTCTCGTTCTGAGTGAGAAGAAAATTATTGCACAAAGCATTTTACACATTCCAAATATATGGCATGAAAAAGTCTGAACACTTTCTCAAGTTTTCCAATGAAAAAAATGGGACATTTTGGGAAGCACTGTTCCCCCCCCCCCAAGATTTTTTGTTTAAATAAGTTGACAGGAAAGTATTATTTATAAATCACACACACACACCCATTTTCTGGAAAACAAGAATCGGGGGGGGGGGATTCCCATGGCTTCAAAACTTCTGGAATTTTATATCTCTAATTAATACACACACCCCCAATAGAAACAGCATCTGTACCTTTAAAAAATGTGGGCCATTGTAGAGATTGGTAGGCAGCCACAAAACAGTCATGCACATGGCCTGTGCACATGACATCTAAACTAGGGGTTACCATGCACTGCTTTCCCCCCTATGATCTTTACTGTACCAGATATTTATGTGAATCTGACTTGAGAGACTCATGAAATATTAAAACAATAGATACCATTGTTCTTTTTCTAAGTCTTTCCCACAGGCAGCTGGTATTTTCAAGCATTTCTACACAGCCTAGAAAGCTAGAGACTTATTTCTTAAAAAACCCAAAACCCTGAAAACAGACATTTCTGCATTCTTAATCAGTATCAGCCAGAGTTTGAACCAGCTTGCAATGTGGTCAGTTAAGAAAAAGCCAAAAATTAACTTTTGTTCATTGGCCTACAAAGTGGATTATACATAGATCATCAAATAAATGACTACTTACTTTATCATGATGACTAGAAATGCTCCTGTAATGACCTAGAGGGGCTGAAAGGATCTGTGCCGTTTCTTTCTTGTATTTCTCAACTGCTTTGATAAGGGCCTCTCTTTTCTGTTGGTCTCTGTCTGTACACAGGGAAATATGAAAGGGTTTATGAAAAAGAGAAAGCAGCAATCCAGAGACTCTTCAGCATTTTCTATAGTGCAGAGCAGAAACATTAAAAAGGTGGGGGTATAAAACCTGAAGAAACCCGCTAACAGTCATCTATATCCAGGAGCCAGTTTGGGTTTGTGGTTAAGAGTGCTGGACTCTTATCTAGAGAACCGGGTTTGATTCCCCACGCCTCCACATGAAGCCAGTTGGGTGACTTTAGGTCAGTCAGAGCTCTCTCAGAGCTATCTCAGCTCCACCTACGTCACAGGGTGTCTGTTATGAGGAGAGGAAGGGAAGGTGATTATAAGCCACTCTGAGACTTCTTTGGTAATGAAGGACGGGGTAGAAAACAACCTCCTCCTCCTCCATCCCCCCACCCCTAAGTGGAGTTTCACCCTTTTAAATACATTGACTTCAATGTGCTTAGAAGGATGCACCTTTGTTAAGGATGCGACCAGAGTTCATTTCCTGCAGGAGTGGAGCTCTGACAGTAAAGAGCCCAGGGGGAGGGCACATGCAACAAGCCCCACCCCCTTCTCCCAGCAGCCCTCAGTCAGAGCAAGAAGCAGCCAGGTAAGTTACAGAGCCCCCCCCCAGGCCCCCTGGTCCAAAACAGTCCAGTGGCACCTTTAAGACCAAGTTTTATTCAGGTACAAGCTCTCCCTCCTCTGCGAGGACAGATCTGCATGTCCCCCCAATAGCTAGCAATCCAAAACAGTCCAGTGGAGCCTGAGCGGTGGGTGTTGCCTTCTGACACCCTTCCGGTGATGTCAGGGGGGTGGCATATGCAAATAAGTTATGCTAACGAGTTATACTAATGAGCTCCTGCACCTCTTCTTCTGCGAAATTACCCCTGGATGCGACTGTTAGGTTTGGATGCAGACTAGACATTCCCACAGGTGCCAGCATTGCCACCTGCAGAACACAAGTTTCCTGCCTACCATCTCCCATGGCACCCTGACATGCCTCCCATCTCTTTCCCAGGGATCACCATTCCCACAGGCAGGATTTCAGGGTGCATTTCAGGTTTCTGAGGAAGGGGGGGATATGAGAAAATTGTGTTCTTTGTGCCTGCCGAAATATTAGTCTGTCTCCAGTCCTTAGGTTTCAAAATCTTCCAGCCCAGTCTTTGCTTGTTTACTGACAGGCAAATCATTTCAAATTCACTGAGACTCACTTCTGAATAAACAAGCCTAAAATGATACTAAGTGTTGTGTTCTAATGGCGAACGCAGACGCTGTCGCCCTTACACGTGGCCAGGTGAACTGACCTAGCTTCGCATCCTTGGACAATAGAAGGAGAGGATCCTAGAACCAGCCTATCACTATTATTCTTCACAGTGTGCATGATATTGTTACGGCTATCAAGAGAGGACAGCTAGAAGCTACTGATTGCATCCACTTGCTCTCACAGGGACAAAAAAGAAACAAGATGGAACTGGAAAGTAGAAAAGGAAGGGGGGGAGTTTGAATTATATAGTTTGTAGACTAGGAGGCTTGGGTGAAGGGTTCTAAAGTCATGCTGTTTACTTTTGGCACGGTGTTGCTGCTGCTTCAAATATTAAATCAGCCTGTTTGGATTCTTGCTGCTTCCTCAGTGTATCAATGGATACATTTGTAAATATGCAGTATAAAATAGCACAACTCTCCAGCACAGTCTCATTTTAATGGCTTCCTGTGGCAGTTTCTCCCACTTGGCAAAGTGAGGAGTTTGAAACAGTTTCTTGGTTGCAGAAACAGAACCATTGACAGCGATTTGGGTGCTTCTCAGTTCAGCTCTCTGCTCTCCCACTGCAACAATCCTTCATTATTAAAACATAACTTATTTTAACCTGGACTGCAGGATTTTTGGGAAAGCAGGTGCAATAAAGAATGTCGGCCTTTTTATTCAGAGAGCACTAGGGAGTACACAAGATTACCCTATTCTTTTTATCCTTACAACAACAACAACAACAACAACAATCTACAACAATGTAGATTAGGCAGACAGAGAAGGACTGGTCTGAGGTGACCTAGTGAGTTTCACAGCTGAGTGGGGATTTGAGCCCAGGTCTCGTCCAACATAGTCCTACACTCTATTACACAACATGGACCCTATACATTGACTTACAGATAAAATGTTTCTTAAGCAACCATCTTGCAGGCTTATCCATTGTAGCTGATTGTTTTTGTGGGAACCCTAGTGGTGAAAAGCATTGGGATAATACTGAACATGGAGCAATCCTGCATTCAGCATGGCCAACTTGTCCAAGTGGACTACAGAGACATGTCAGCACTGCACTGTTGTCAACTGTATGGAACATAACAGTGTTTTTTTGAGACACCTTCATATATGGGAATCAGGAACTCTGAAATAGCCATCTCAGTCAACCCCATGTTCACTGGTATGCAATGTGTGGGCCTTGACCATACCAAGTGGACCATACCATAATAAATACCATAGATTGTTTTAACATGTTTAAGATAAGGTCAAAGAAGAAATTAATACTTTATTTATTTATTTAACCTTAGATTTGATATACCGCCCTAACCCCCGAAGGGGTCTCTGGGCGGTTCACATTTTTGTCGTTCTAAGAACTGCTATCACTATCTAGGGCCACATCTGAAGTTGGGGGTGGGACTTCCTACCGGCACCCTTGGTGGTGTATGCGCTCCTTCTTTTTTACTCCCTCCGGCACGTTTCAGTGTTTCCTCAGCTGCTGGCGCGGCAATCCTTCCAGGCTCCTGATCTTTCTCTCTCCGGCAACCACGGCAGCCCCAGACCGGCGCACGGCTTCCTGTACGCTCCTGGCTGGCTTCGTCCTTCAGGCACCGCCTTGCCTTCGCGTCATCGTCGTGCGCCTCCAGGGTCCTGCCGTCACTGCCGTCGCCGCCCGATACTCAATGTTTCCCACGGCCACCAGGGATCGCTCTGCTTCGCACCGTCCTCAGTTCCGCCAGCAAGCCTCTGCCGCCACCGCCGCCGTCCATCGTCCTCTGCACTGCTGTCGTCCTCTGCACTGCCGTCCGCACAACCACCAGCCTCTTTTCCTCAGAGGTGGGTGCCCCCTACCCATCTAAGGGCAGGTACCCATTCGTCTACTTGCCTTGGATGTTAATTGGCTTTCGACCCGCTGGGTTGGCGGGAAGGAAGAACATTTAAAAAGGAGCACTGAAACTGAAAGAAGAGGGAGGGAGAGACAGAGAAGAACAATAGACATTTTAATGTATTTATCCATAACATTTTTATTTAGCTAGTTGTTGTAGATTTTCTGGGCTGTCTGGCTGTGGTCTTGGCATTGTAGGACCTGACATTTCACCAGCACACAGAGCTTGACACAGAGCTTGACACAGAGAGTACTCCATCTTCCTGTGTTATACCTCTGAGGATGCCAGTCACAGCGAAACATCAGGTCCTACAATGCCAAGACCACGGCCATACAACCCGGAAAATCTACAACAACTAATGAACTCCAGCCGTGAAAGCCTTCGACAACATATTTTTATTTAACCTTTCTGCCCAGTCAGAATCATACATGGTAACATAATGGAGAGTGGGTCTTATATTATAAGGTGTGGTTAAAGTTGACTCAGAAAAAGAGACTGAAGATAGGGTGTAATGTGCTCAGAACCTCTCCAGAGCCAACTGAGGGAAATGTTCATGCACAGTCAGATGCATAGTCAGCATAAAAATACTGTTCTACGATTACTGCATGTAACATCTACTGGCTTCTGATCCAAGTGAAGATGACACAGTATCATCCTGTATTACTTGTAGTATGACCCGCTGTGTTTTGGGTATGATGAAAATGCTATGTATCATAACTGGGGAGGGGTTAAAATTTTACTTCAATTATACCCCACTTTTCTCTCCAGTGGGGGTCCAAAGCAGCTTACAACATTCTCCCTCCTCCATTTTGTTCTTCTCCTTTTATTAGATGAGAAGCTGCTCTTTTTTTTGTAGTCATAAAACTCTCATTTTAGCATTATTGTCATTTGCATTTTGTTCTGGGCATGGTTGTCAGTGGTGTACATTAGCATTTGGCACCCGCACATACCAGGAGAAGCCGTGTCTGGCAACACTGTTTAAATGCATATGATTGCCCATCATCATCACCCTGTTTTCCTTTTTCCTGCTGGCGTGGGCATAAGTGACAGCTGTCTTCTCTGTAGCCATTACCCTTCTGGGAATGTATTCGGAGGAGTCTGCAACCATTTTGTCAAACTGAGCACAAACAATATGATACAACAATTTTGTCTGTGCACTAAAACTACAGAAGCAAAAATTAACATGCAGTCCCTAGAGACATGCTAGCTCACTTTTATGATTCTGGCTTGTGATGTGGGAACTAAAGGGCAGCATTGATTTTGCAAGAGGGGTATAGATGCCTCTCTCTGTCTTGTTTGCCTTATTACTTAGGAACACAGTACAGTTCCCTACAGGCCATTCATCAGCCCAACACTGCCATCTTAAGCAGAGTTACACCCTTCTAAGCCCTTTGGCTCCAGTCGATTTTGAAGGGTGTAAGTATGCTCAGGACTCAAGAGAAATAAACAGTATTACATTCGAATGGCACAGTTCCCAAGTAGTTCGACAAGCAGGTGGTTACTTACATTCAGTGATGGCTCTGTCACATTAGAGTGTGATCAAGAAGCAAATATGTAAATAAGAAATTACTTGATTCTCAGTGGTCAGACACACCGTAGGTCACCAGAGGTAGGAAGCAGGTTTGTTTGTTTGTTTACAAAGTGGCTTGAAGAGGCTCACAGGCACCTTATTATTCCACAGTTGTCATTAGCTGTCTCTTGCGCGCCAGAGCCAAGAGCTGCCATTTTCTCTATTTGGAGTACATGGTGTATCTGCCATGAAATCATTGAAATTCCACCCACTTTGCATCGGGCAATGCAATGATGCTGCCATAGGTGTGACACTTACTGCTTGAAAGGGAGTGGATATGTGCTCTCAGTAGTTCTGGCCTCCCCAGGCCATAGTC